AGACTCCACACCCTCCCTGGGCAGCTGGTCCAGGCTCTGCCACCTCCATGGAAAGAAGTTCTTCCTCATGTTGAAGTGGAACTTGTGTTTAGTTTATGGCCACTGCTCCTCATCCTGCCACTGGGCACCTCTGAAAAGCATCTAGGAACATCCTCTGACACTGAGACTCCCCAGTGTCCCACAAAAAGCAATTTATTGTGTCTGGTACGGCCCAGAATTGCCAGTGGGTGTGTGAACATTTCCCCCCAGGTGGTGTGTGGGGAATTTCCCCGTGTGAGTCACGGCACGAGCAGAGGTTTGGGGTTTGGGTTGAGCAGAGGAAGTGCAGCCAGGCCTGCACTTAAAACAGCTGGGAGGAAGAAAACCTGACCTTTGGGCTCCCCTGAAATCCATTTGCACAACAAACCACTCGTGCACAGCAATCAGGGGCTGCTTCAGCACAGCAAGGTGAAGCATATTGGCCCTGGAAGGGTTTTCAGCCAATTGCCCTTCAATGTTTTCTGAAATGTTCAGGTGACACCAAGCACGAGCTGGGATCTGATGGGAAGAAATGGAGCACAACCAGCACGTTGACAGTCCTCTCCTACAGGCCCAACGCCACAGCCAGCTGCATCATCCACCACCCAGCCCTGAGGGAAGAGAAGCTGATGGCATCTTTCCACTTCCAGGACTTCCCCAGGACGGGTACTCCAAGCTCCTTCCAAGCTCCTTCCCATGGTAGTGCTCTGAGGGGGTCAGAATTGCACAGATACAAAGGGAAAGCCAAAGCCCAGAGTCTGCTGCCCTGTGTGTGGAATCTGTTTTTAAAGGAGAAGGTTCCCTGGGGCAAAAAGAATTTGAAGTTCTTCCTCGGGGTCAAGTCTGAACAGCAGCACAGCCTCTGCTCTAAAAACACACATAATAGTGCTTCATCTTCATTTTATTCCTCATTTCATATCATTAAATATATTCACAGAGCAGGGAAACTGAGGGTGGGAGAGTAGGACTGTGAGTGTAACCCAAGATCAGACAGAGAACCCAAACAGCCCAGAGCATGGAGCCTGTAGGGCAGGTTTAGCTTTTCCAGGATCATTCAAGTGGCAAAGTGCATCTTCTGATTTCTGTCGTGTTGGGGGGGGGCTTCATTTAGGATCCAAACAACCAACCAGCCCTCCTGCAGCACCAGAGAGTCCAGCAGGTTCCAGCTCAGCACCAACACCAACCCAGCAAAGCCTCCCACCAGATCTCACATCTGATTGTAAGTTTGGCCTCTGTCACAGGAATTTATCGAACCGGGGTGGAAATGCTGCAAGAACAGCTTTACATCCCATGTTGCAAAGAACTGTGGAACATTAAACACAGCATTTATCACTTCCTTTCCCAGTTTCCAGCCATGCAGGCAGCCCAAGCCTCTCTCCTTAGGTGCAGCAGGATGGTGGGATCCAGGCTGGGATCCGCTGGATGGGTTGCACTAGATGGCACTGTGCAACAACACAAACCTGTGCCTGCACCAGGCTGCACTTACTGAGCTCTTTCCAGCAGAATCAACAGCTCCACTGCCCAAAGAAGTTGGCCAAACCCCACCAAGGGTTTTGTGCCTGCCTGGCACGGGAGGCCCCTGCGGTGAAAAGTCAATTGCTGCTTTAGAAATGCACGAACTCTTTGTTTATTTTTGTTCAAACGCGCTACATCGCTGATTACAAACATCACAGAACGGCCACAGCCTGATAAACAATTCATGCATGTGTTGATAAACATACATGGAAGGGGAGCCTGAATCTTTTAAGGGTGGAACTAGTTGGTCTTTAAGGTCCTTTCCAACCCCAAACCACTCTGTGATTGTGTGGCTTTCACAAGGTGTGCTCACCCACCTGAGAGGGAGGAAAATGCAAAGTTTTGGTGCATCGTCATCATTTTAGCTTTACAAATCAAAGTTAATTGCACAAGGATATATTGTCTGAGTCAGAACTCATCTCTCTGTCTGTGCAGGGCCTGAAGGATCAGCAGCTTCCTCAGGAGATGAAGAATTGGGAGGTTCCTCGGGTTATGGTGACCCCAATGGTACGATTTACATCATCAGACACGGGGGCTGATGGCAAAGGACAGGGGTTGTCACCCTGGGACTGCACCACTGGGGGCTGTGAAGACACTAAAGGAGTAGCCAGGGATATGAACACCAAAATATCTCCTTTAAGAAGAAGGATACACACTCACTCCTGGTTTTCCCAGCAAAGGAAGCAAACTGATGGACAGGGAAAGCCCCCAAATGACCAAAGAGTCAAAGCTCAGCTTTGTTTTAATTTGGCTGTAAATGGGAACCATCGAGTTCCACAATGTGTAAGAGACTCTGAGGATTTGCTGTTCACAAAATTTCAGATTTAAACAAAATCCAGCATCAGGGGAGTGAGCACAGAGCTCTAAGTCAGGGGAAGTCCCAGGTGCTTCAAAGCTGCTGGGAAAATACACATTTCTTAAGCATCTCCTGGCCCTTCAGAGAAATATTGTTCTCCTTTCCTTTCCTCCAGGGACTGAGACAGCATCCAAAGGAAATGTCACAACAGAGGAACTTCCCAGGACAGAAGCCCCACTGCCACGTGAAAACACCACTGTGACTTCCACCTTCACTGCTGGTAGGAACTCCTTAATGAGCTTCCAAACATGAAAGGAGCTTTGTGACACCAGGCTGGGTCTCTCTGACCACATTTCCCCTCCAAACCCTTTGCCAGTGCACCAGGGTAATGTTTGTAAGGCTTGTAATTTTGGGGGAGGCCACAGAAACGCAGCCATTTGTATCATCTAGGGGGAAAAAAAGCTAAATTTTGCTATTTGTTGTGCCAGAGCACAAGTCCACCGATTTCAATCGGTTTTTCTTATTCATACAATAAAAAAATTGACCTCATATCCTAAAATTAAGTCAAATTCTGCTCCTCTATCATGTTCATCTGGCCTGGTCCAGGTTATTGTGTTAACTACCAGAGGCTCACAGGACATTTCACAAGACAAACACCCCCTTGCCTCTGTTCCAGAGCAAGATCCCAAATCCAAAGGCATCATAAAGAAGGAGAAGGACCTCTTGCTGCCAATCCTGGTGGCTGCCCTGATTTTTGTGCTGCTCATCATTGTCCTGCTTTTCATGATGAAGCTGAAAAAAGCTCATGGAGTGTGGAAGAGAGGTGGGTGATGGCCCTGGAATGTTGACCATGGAATTGCTGTGTTAAGCCTGTCTCTGAGCTGGTCAGGCTGATTGAACCCCCATTTCATAACCAGGCCCTCAGGATTTTCATGCTAAAGGCAGAGGGTGAGAAAGAGTAGTGGGAAAAAAATTATTCTCTTAATTACATCTCTTTTCTGTGCAGAAAATGATGTTTCAGAGCAGACACTGGAGAGTTATAAATCCAGATCTAATGAAGACAGTCCAGGCCATGAGAAGAATGGACAAGGTAAAAAACTTTAACCAACATAAACTAATTCCTTTGGGGCATTTCTGCAGAT